ATCCTTGATGTGAGACGGGTCGAGTTAAATTGAAAATGTAACGTTAATTAGGAATAAAGTGTTTGTTACTTATAAAGGAAATTATAATATTTTTGAAGAAAAATGTAATACTTTTACATTTTGATTTAAAAGTATTAAATTTTTCTTCGAAAGTAATATTACGTAACAATACTTTATTATTGATTAGTATTACATTTTTCATTATAAATATTATATTCCTATCTTGACCTGACCCATCTCATGAATAATGATCAATGAGACGATCTGACATAAGAATGGCAAATTATATTCAATAAATATATAATATATAAAAAATAAGTCTAATCTATTTTATTATTAGGGTTTAAAAAATCGCAAGGCGCTCGGGGAGCGCATAGCGCCTAGGCGGCGATTAATCGGCGCCTAGGCGCCCATGTATTTTTTATTTTATTTTTAATTTTTTAAAATTTTTCAAGACTTGATAATTATAAAATATTTAATACTTTAATAGTTAATACTAAAATATTAAATATTAACCTAAAAACATATATAATTTGAATAATTTAGGGTTATTTCGCTCAAATATCGTTTTGAATGGAATAACCCATTTACAAAAGAAGGGAACGATAGCCAATCGTCCGACTAGATAAGTTAGTTTGTGCCTAGGCGGCTTAGTTGGTGCTTAAGAGGCCTAGTCGACACCTAGGAGACTTAGGCGGTCAGCCGTCTAGACCACCGGTTATGGTTAATAGATTTAATTAACCCGGATAGTCCGAATTAATAAACCTAATAATTAAAAAAATAGTAAATGGATAGATAAAACAAGGGTTGTAGGGTCGAGAACTCGAGGGGACCAAAATATTGTATTAATTTATAGGTTCCAAGCTATTACAATGACGTAGTAATGCTATAGTAGTCAATTAGGACAAAAGGTAGATAGATGTCTTAACAAGACAAGAATGAAGCTTTTTATACATAGAAAACCCTCTAACTGTCCCGCTAACGCGATGGGGAGGTTGCATCTCCGTTTTGACTGCGTCCGGTTCGAGACCGGAGCCCCAGCTTGACCGCTCGAGGCTGGGTCAAGCACGGAGCTCAACCTCAGGGCCTCGGATCAGCTCCACACCATCTTGCTCTGTCTTTTCGGATCAATTTATCCTGATTATAATATTATCCATCAATGATGATATGCTAAATGACCGACCAGTGCTTAGCGCTTAAGTGCCGATTAATCGGTGCTTTGACGGAATTTTTGAAAGACTGCTTATTATATAAAGCATGGTCCATGGTATAACCTTAGTTCTCCACCTCAAAATTCATATTTTCCAGTTTTGCTGTTTAGATGTCGAGGAGCTCTCGCCGTCATTAGATTCGGCCCCACAAACACTTTCTTGGTGCGCAAGCTTTCTCTACATTAAATGTTTCTCTTGTAATATTGCAATTAATTAAAAATTTAAAATAAAAATTATAACTGCTACTTAGTACTTACTAAAAATACGAGTATCATAGGATATAACTTATTTAGCCAAATTTCTCAAAATACAAAATTGTTTTATCACTTTTTATTTTAATACGAAATAATTTTATATGTATAAAAATATCGAATTTTAATTTGGACTGAAAATTTTCTCAAATAAAAATTAAATTCTAATGGTACGACTTAAAAAGTCAAATTTTATAGATATGATCTGAATTAAATTTGAGTTAGTCTCACACTATTTAAATCCAAATTAGTCTTAGATCTTTTTATTTATTTACTTTTGAAATACTTGAGTTTTCTAAATCTTTTTTCTGCTCAAAAAATAAATGGGTACACTATATTCAATCATGTAATCATTCATTTAAAATGGTAATAGATATGAATTACATTAAATAGTAGTTGACAGATTTTTTTTATTTAAAAAAATACCATATTTATTTAATATTTTTACGTATTAGAAAATTATATTAAAACTTATTTAATTAATTGTGATTAAATTGTTGATTTTTGCCCACGGCCCACGCTTTTCTTTTCTTCAATTAATTAATTAAATATATAGGGAGCGGATCATCGGAGGGTGATTATAAATTCCCGAAGCTTCAGGAGAGGGTGGGACTAAGACAATCTTGTATACGACCGCATCTTCGGTTTTGTTGATAGGTAAATGCATCTTTCTTCTCTTCTGTCTTTGTAATGAAAGCTTGATTCCTTAATTACACTAGTATCTCTTTTCATCTCCATTTTGCATTTTAAACAAAATGTTGAAGTTGCCTGTGAGTGTTTGATCGAGGCTGTTGCGTAGAATTCCTATATAGTATGTTTCCTTGTATTGAATTCGCTTAGGTTTCTTGCACTGCCCTTTATACCATGATGCCGCCTCTATCAATTTGCATATTATTATATGAAAATGGTTGTAGGTGTTGTTTGGTTACAAAGGCCTTGTGGTCGAGCTGCATATATAGCTGTGGCCCCTCATTTGAGGTCTCAAGTTTGAATTCCTGTGTGGAACATTAACTCTTTGTGCTTCAGTAGATTGAGAAAATATGTATGAACAGACATTATATTGTAATAGAGTCAATAGCATCCAAAAAAAAAAGACACTTTTGGTAGGAAAAAGTCTAAAAACTGTTGCAAATTCAACTTTATATTCAAGGAATGATGATGATGATGATTAATTGATTGACATCCTGTGGCCAATTTAATCAAAAGGTAGTTTTGCTAAGCCATTGTGGATGTATATTGATTCTTTTCGCTATAAACCTTTGGCGAGGGGAATTACTATGGGGTTTCTGAGAGGCTGAGATTGAAGGTGCTGGGGATTTTCTTAAGAAACCAAAATACACCGTAACAGGTATATAGGGGAACATCCTAACCTTAGTGGGGATAAAAATGATAATCCTTAACAAGAATGAAGCAGGGGATGCTAACACGATATAATGTATCGATCATATGCAAGATTCATGAAAATCCTGATTAGCATTTGTAATATCAAAATCAAGATTTTTGGGGTAACCCCAGCCAAGATGGCAAGAGATCCACACTTGTAACCCGAAAGTCTTGAGTTCAAATCCTTGCCCCTTTGGTTTGAATTGGTGAGCTATGGATAACCTAGGCTGGTTAACTTCCTTGTGGTCCTTTTTGAATGAAAATATTAACTTTTTGGATGTTTGCTGTTCTTTTGTAAGTTGCTTTAGTCTGCTGATTCTTTGGTATTCCATGATTCTATTGCCAGAGAAGTCGTGAGCCATGATTGTTCATTCTATAACAGAGGAAATCTTTGCCATTACATAAACATTTGTGCAGATATGGATTTTAGCTACTACGTATGTTGTTAATGGTACTTCACTACTTGTTCTTCTCTTCAGTGTAGATCGGGACTGAAGGGTTTGGATATGATGCTAAATGGATCTTGTCTGACTTCTGGGGTTGCTTATATGCCTTGTATGCCCAGCACTGCTAAGTCTTATAATTCAGCTTACTTGTGCATTCCTCCTCCACCTTCCAAAGTTGCAGCCTCTTCTATTAGAAGTTCATTGAAACCCCGTCAAACTCTTTTATCTTGTTCCTATAGAGGTCAGAATTTAATCCTTCTAAGTTAGCATTCTCTTTACACTTTAGCTCGTTTGATCTCCTTGGTGCTGGAAAAGTGCATCACAGAAACGTTGTTCATCTTTCACGTATGTTTGTTATTAAAGCATTTGATCATGTTCCAACTTTTTCTTGTTTATTAACTTCTTGTCTTGGCGAATTATATGCTTTGGTTGTCGTTTCAGGAATTTCTTCTGTATCATCACTCTCATATGCTACACCGAAATTACAAAGGGAAAGCCATTTTCCTCTTTTGCCTAGACGAGCATTCAAGGATGTTTCCCTTGCCTATGGTGCACTCTCATATGCAACTTCGAAGTTACCAAGGCAAAGACGTTTCTTTCTCTCTCCTAGAGCATTCAAGGACGGATCCTACGATTACCCATCCCGTGCCATAACCGAGAAACCAAAATGGTGGTGGAGGACCTTAGCATGCCTCCCGTATTTGATGCCTCTTCATCTAACATGGTATTTCGCTGCAGAATCATATCATCTTCGGCCTCTCGTGGAGAAATCTGATTTCTTGTCGAAGCCTTACAATAACTTCCTACAAAGATTGCCCGGCTGGGTTTTGATGGCATATACCTTCACTGCTTGTTTTGCTATTGTGAAGAGAAAGGAATGCCCCCATTTCCTCAGGTTCCATGTGATCATGGCAATACTGCTGGAGAATTTGATGCATATCATCATAATTGTGTATGGTTGGGTGCCGCCTTTTGTGCACTGGGGCAATAATATCGGAACTCACATTTGGGCAGCCGTTACATTTGCGTGTATCATGACAGTCGTGAAGTGCATGAAGTGCACGCTTTCTGGTATGTATGCCGACATTCCATTCGTGACTGATGCTGCTAATTTCCATCTTAAATATGGATAAATCTTAGAAATGTTATAGAGATGAAGAAACTCTTACATAATATTAGTATATTACACAAGTGTAATGTGTAAAATTGAACTCTGGCTTCCTTTTTGAGTAAAAGAACATTGTTGCATGGTTAACAAGTTCATGTGTACAAGTGCAGATAGGTTCCTACATTTCACTACTCACAATGGGGAGAGGGGGTTGTTGTTGTTGTATATTTATGTTTCTTTGAATTTCTTCACTGGGTTGTTTGCTGTTTTCAGAATGGTATTTTATTTGCTTTCACTTCTTCCATTGAGGCAGCCTCTGGACTACTACCTGTGATGTACAATAGGCATGTAAATACCACAAAAGAAATGCATAAAACAATCTGGCCAGCACTCTGTCCTTTAATTGGGCCGACCCGGTGTGAATGGGAATTAGTCCAATAGTTATGTTGTGGAACCGTGTTCACCATGCGCATGGTGAACACGGGATAGATCCACAATTTCTAAACTGTAGATTCATAATTTCTATACTGTAGATTCATAACATCTATGCTGTAGATTCATAATTTCTATATCGTACTATAGATTCATAATTTCTATACTGTAGATTCATAATATCTGTACTGCGAAGACGAAATAATGCGATTGCGAAGAGAGAAACGTCGTTAACAACAAATGAAAAACAAAATTATGAATCTACAGCATAGAAATTATGTATCTACCCTGTGTCCAGCATAATTTGCGGAATTAGTCCGAGTATGGTACGGATTTAAAGATGTCTCTTACAGTTAGGACTTGCTCAGGACACCTCATGGTCTACAGTTGGGAATTGGGACTAGATTTGTGATTGGCGGAGGCTAGTAAAGGCATTTAGGTTCAGTTTTTTCCCACCCTCATGTTTAAAAGAGAAAATATACCTTGCCAGAGTTCTCTTTATTTCCAACTATTGTCTGGCATGCTAGCCTCCATGACTCTGGTTTCTGCAGAGTTGAAACATGAATGAAATAAGCAAGTTTTCTGCATAGTGACAAAGGGGTATATGGTGATACAAGGACGGAGTAAGAGCAATGCATGCCTTCTTTAGATATCGGAGTTCTGTATTTGTCCTCTCGTTTAAGAGATCTTTTCCATCTATAATCTGCACCAAGAATCCAAGATCAACTTGTAACAATATATAAGCTAGAGCTTATAATTTATTTTAAGCTACAAATAAGTTATAAGTTTTATTTAGTAAAATATGAGGAGTTTTAAAATAATAATTTATTTTAAAACGCTACCCCAACAAAGCTTTCAGTTTTTTAACCTTTTTTTTTCTTATTTTTATTAATTTACAAAGACAACACTTTCATTAATCAAAATCTTAATATCTTAGCTTATCTTTTATGTTTTTTACACTTATGGGTTAATTTAATAATTAATTTATTAAATATTTTAATTTAAATTAATTAGCTTATTAGTTACTGGCTTTCAGCTAAGTCTGCCAAACAGGACAAGGAATACCAAAAAGGATATATATGAGAATGATGATTTTTCAACCTGCTATATCAAGTTGAAGAGAGCATAGATTACATATACCTCCACAATACAAGTACCACAACTTCCACCACCTCCACAATTCATCACTTTCCCCTGTCAAAACAAAACAATATGCACACGTCCAAGCTGAAAAGCGATGCCATCAACATATAAAACAAGACTAGAGATTAACGATTTTTATTTTGTTTGATCACAGGGTAAGGGTATACTAGGACCCCATACATTAAAGGGCGTTTGGTTCACGGAATGTTAGATTACCTTAGGAAATGTTAGATTGCTGAGAATGTTAGATTACTGAGAATGTGAAATTCATGTGTTTGGTTTAAAACTAAGATATGTAAATAAGACAACGGTAATAAATTGATTAAAACGTTCAAAGCCCAACATTAGTAATAAGACAAGGGAATCTGAGATTACCTAAGAAATTGGAGGGGAGGGTATCTCACATTCTCTTCCAATAGTTAAAAACTTAATGCGAAGGTTATTTAACATTCCCTAGGAAATTTACATAACCTGAACCAAACATGAGAATCTTATATTACAAAGGAAATATAACATTGGTTATCTTATATAACTTGAACCAAACGCCCACTAAGATTAATCTTGTTCGTGACCCGTTATTTCATCCATACTTCAATGGGTAAAATAAGGAAATATTCTGTTGCCTGATTTGCACGGACAGCTTAGTTGGTAGATTCTAGACAAGGATATAAAATAGAGTAGGAGTTACATTCAATGCCACCCTTCTATCATGTCAAAGTTCGAGAATTCCACCTTTTGTGGTCAATGATACTCGTGGATTATTGGAATTTTAACCACTAAATTTTTGATATACATAGAGAAATTATAAAAATGTGTGCTATCATAGATAGAAAATGACAAATGTTGTAAAGAATGAAAAGAAAATTATTTAGCATTTTAAGTAGGTAGAAGTGGCTAAGCAAACTTACATAGGCAGCGTAAAGCTCAATCTTGTTATCCGCCATTATATTCCTAAGAAGCTTCTCACCACTAACTGCCGTGGCTTTATCGACTGGGTACTTCCCATCCGCCTCTGCTTTTGGCTGCACAAAATCCACAAATTAAATTTCGACAACTTCGTTCTATGATGTCTGCATCTTTTGTACTTATTATAGTAAAAAAGAAAGTATTACCCCTATGAACTCTAGCTCGATTAGAGGCTTTTCAGTTGTGGGCGAGGAAGATTCCAGCGACGCCGCGGTGCAAGAGATGGAAATGCGTTTCTTTCTGGTGGTGCTGGTGGTGGGTCTGCGGTGGTTAACGGCGATGGTAGGTGTAAATTGTGGCGGCCGGAATGTGGTGGGCACTGCCAGGTTCGTGGCAGCCATGCTACTGTCTGCTTTCTGATCCACCAGTTTGAATGTGCAGAGGTGTTTGGTTTTTATTAGCTGGGCCAGCCTCTCTTTCCTACTTGTGGTTCCAATTTATTTTTGTAATTAACAACTACTCCAAGAACATACTAGCATCCTCCTAATTTGACTCTCGGGGCCACCCGATTCGACAGGATAATAGATAGATAAATTAAATGTGACTCTCGCATAGTGATTATCAGGGTTCAATCTTATGTCATTGATTACAAGTCTACAATTTACTACTCATAAATCAACTGTACGAACAATTTTAATTGTTTTTGGTTATAAGTGTGAAGGATTTAAAGAAAATATAGAAATAAAAGAAATAATTTTATAGTCTAGTGGCATGAATTAACTTTTCCAAATAGGAGGTCATGAACAATCATTTTGACCATTTATTATATTTGATGGATAGAGTTGGACCGAATTAAGTAATGATAAGTCTCAAAATATGCTAAATTGTAATAGCTTATCGGGAGTGTTTTGAATGGTTTTAATCCCTAAACCCTGTGTTTTAAGACACATTTACCTTGGAAACACAGTTAACATAAAAGCACCACACTAATTAAACTTATTATGAATTTTCAGGTATTTTTTACTGCTAACTTTATTATTATTAAGTGTTTGGGCGGGAAGTTAAAAAGGAGGATTTTGTTTTTAATAATAGTATTGATTGATTAGATTAATAGTAAAATAAGGCTCTGTAATTTTAATCTAAATTATTAATAGTCGATTCTTTTTCAATTTTTTTTTTTCAAAATCTTCCTTATATTCAAATTTATTAGATTATTAGTAAAATAACGCGTTGTAATAATTTTAGAACATTATGACTTCTCGAATTATGGATTTTTTTTTCATTTTTCATTTTTTTTTACTGCTAACATTATTATTATTAAGTGTTTGGGCGGGAAGTTAATAAAGATGATTTTGTCAACTCATCAACTAAGAGAGACGTGTCACGATGAAATTTTTTCTCCAAGAAAGTGCCAAGAATGCAAACGGTCACCGATACACTGTCTGAATGCTCGACGCCCACGGTGACTCATCAGTCGCCGGAGGGCCTTGGTTTCGCCGAGCGCAACCCCAAGAAGCACAAGAGACGAAGGGACCACTCAGATCCATCTCTATCATCGCCAATAGTTAATAGCAGACAAGACATGCAAGCTGAGGCGGAACTTCTTTCCCCAGATTCTACACAATGGAGGACTCCTTCAGATACACCAGTCCACGCCTCGTCACATTTCGTGGTACCGGATTCCCTGGCCGTCGAGGACAACCTAGAAGACGCAGACATGGAAGATGACAGGTCAGTACCCAGTAACCCGGTAATCCCGATTTCAGAAGAAGAAAAAGAAAGAATCCGAAGACCTTGGCGTCGTTCTCTGATTATTAGAATTTTGGGAAGAAAGGTGGGTTATTCTTACCTGCTCCAACGCTTGCAGAAGATGTGGAAACCGGAAGCATGTTTTGACTTAATCACTTTAGACCACGAATATCATATTGTTAGATTTGAATCACAGAGGGACTACAATTTCGCCAAATTTGAAGGCCCTTGGAGTGTTCTTGCCCATTATGTGGTTGTCCAAGAATGGGTTCCGAATTTCTGTCCGAAGAAGAACAAGACTAAGAAGTTACTTGCATGGGTCATATTTCCTACACTACCAGTAGAATACTTTGATGAACAATTCCTAATGAAGATTGCAAAAATAGTAGGTCGCCCTATCAAGATTGACACTACCACAAGCCTAATCTCCAAAGGCAGCTTTGCTCGGGTCTGCGTAGAGATAGATATTTCGAAACCTTTATTATCCAAGTTCACCCTTGAGGAAGAAGTGTGGCCGGTAGAATATGAAGGATTGCATCTTGTGTGCTTTCAATGTGTTCTCTATGGCCATAAAGAAAATCAATGTGGCCCTGGTACTGCTCAAAACGCGCATGACCAAACTGTAAACAATGATATTAGGGAGCAAGGCTTACCCGAACAAAGGAATGACTACTCTGCGAACTACGGACCATGGATGCTTGTCACAAGGAGAGATCGAAGAGGACCACGAAGGGCTGATAATCGAGCAACTTCCGGTGGACAACCGGCCGGGGGAAGAACGGGTGGTAACAGCAGGAGTAACCAATCACGCTATGGGCCTCTGGCAGACCAAGAAACAGAAGGCGAGGAACAACCCATCGAAGGTCATCAATCCAGCCCCATCATCCAGAACTCGGATGTCCCTCTACCAAGAATTCGAA